GTTAGTTTAGCACCTTGAAGATATTAAAATGGTTGTGCTAATGCAAGTGTAGTTACTGCAAACAGACAAGAATACTGGTATGTTATCGCTGAGGAATAATTGCTCTCTGGAAGGTTGTGAACTGTGTCCTTGCAATATACAGTTTGTTATGTTGTGATCATAGATTATTTTCCAGTAGCATAAGAACTTTGAGTAATGAAAAAAGAATCAAACTGCACAATAGAGACTAAAGTTCCAGTGTTGGTAAAAGAAGCTTAAAAATACCATCAAGAATTGCTATTATGTATACCTCTTCTTATGTTTATAGCGTATCTCACTCTTTGGTTGTTTAGTTATCTGACCTGATCTAGCAGGACAGTTCTTGTGGCTTATTAGCCTAGTGACTTCAAACTCTCTAGTTGCGATGGCTATAGTGCAAAAGTTCACCTAGCAGCCGGTGCTATGAGTTTAGGCCATCAAATACTCGAAAAACTATTTTATTACTAGAGCTACCTCTTTAAAGAAGCAGGAAGTACTTCATATGCTTGTTTATCTACTTTGAAAGTTATGTTAATTCTTGTATGATTTTGGATGTCTGATTGCCTGAATAGATAGATCCATATACTTCAGGCATGGCATAAGCTAAATTTGGTGCATTCGCAGTTTGCTCGAGTATTGTGACACCCCAGAAGATAGAATACTAGTATTTATAGTGCTATCTATGTTAATGGTCAAACATTTTTGTACTTGGGCAGTTTGCTTCACGAAAATAAAAACAAGATTCATGGTGCTGTGTTTTCTATTACCATAAAGCTGATTGCTTCGAACACTGATTATCTTTGAATAAACTCTTTGTGGTTATTGGTTTCTTTGTTCCTTATCAAAGTCTTGCCTCTTGCCATTTTCTCTTCATCCTGAATCCAGTATCTGTATGTGTTTCTCCTTTTAATTGACTCAAGACGAGACTGTAGTTTATTGGGCTAATTATTGTGATAATACAGGTATTATCACAATATCACGTCAAATACACTTGGTGTATTGGAAGCCATGCATACACATGGTGTGAAGACTTTGATATATTCTAGTACATGTGCAACATATGGAGAGCCAGAAAAGATGCCTATTACAGAACAAACTCCACAGGTGAAGGATCTAGAGCCTCTTTTGTGGATTTCCTAGATTTCTTAACTCTTTTCAGTCGAATAGAGTGCAGAGAGGGCATTAATAGCAGATAGTTTATATGTTTGGAGCTGTACAGTAGAAATCTGATGCTTTTTTGTGCTGTATAGAAACCAATTAATCCTTACGGAAAAGCCAAGAAGATGGCAGAGGATATTATTCTGGATTTTCATAAGAATTCAGACATGGCTGTCATGATTTTAAGGTACGAGTTTGACTGCAACTCTAATCCTTTTGCACTGATTAGCATCAAGCTCAAGCTAATTATTCTTTCAAATGATTCTTTTTTGGTTTATAGTTCATTATTCACCTTCCATATCCCATTACTGCTTTATAGAGTTTCTTGGAAAAGTGACGAGAGCTATTGGAAACAAAAATGTTCTCTGACAAGTCAATTTATTGTGGTAGTGAAGCTAATGAAATGTTGTCAGTAAAAGGATGTCGTGAACAGTCTACTTGACGGGGTTAACGGGTAGTTAATGATGTGATGCTTACTGAACCGATAATTACCCATTGTGACGCTGAAGTTTTTAATTTTCAGATACTTCAATGTGATTGGTTCAGATCCAGAAGGAAGACTAGGTGAAGCTCCTCGACCAGAACTACGTGAGCATGGTAGGATATCAGGTGCTTGCTTTGATGCTGCTCGTGGAATAATTCCAGGGCTTAAGGTTTGCTGATATTACCCTTCACTCTTTATCTGATAGTGTAGCACTGAAATCTTCTAAAGGTTTGGGTGTTCTTGAGTGGGGACCAGCATTGGGCAATGCTGAGGTTGTGGAGGGGAACGTCTGGGAATGTTTAAAATGGGCTTCATGTGTTTGTGGGGATACAGGGTTGTGTTAGACTGAAAAATGAAGAAAGCCAGGGAAGGAGTAACTTTTTTATTTGGAAATTTTGATTTATTTAATGTTGGCTCCGGGGCACAACGTTCTTGTAGTTTTTTCCTTCAACAGCATTTCAGATGATAATTTTACCATTCACTTGGCAGTTTCCAGTAGCACAGAATTAGCATCTACATTTTTCTCGTCTGGGGAGTAGATAGATTTTACATACTTAGCGGGTATTCTGTTTTCATGGACAGGTGAGAGGAACAGACTACAAGACTGAAGATGGAACCTGTATCCGGGATTATATTGATGTCACTGATCTTGTTGATGCTCATGTCAAAGCCCTTGAGAAGGCAAAGCCTGGGAAAGTTGGAATTTACAATGTTGGAACGGGGAGAGGTAAGGCATTTCTTGTTATAACCTGTAACTTAATTGACCATATTAGCCATTTCTTATGCGGTTCATATTTTTCTACTTCAGGTCGATCTGTAAAGGAGTTTGTGGAGGCCTGCAAGAAGGCGACAGGAGTACCTCTCAAGGTCGACTACCTTCCCCGTCGGCCTGGTGATTATGCTGAAGTATACAGTGATCCAACTAAAATTAGGACAGAACTAAACTGGACAGCAAAATACACCAATCTTCACGAGAGTTTGCGGGTAGCCTGGAGATGGCAGAAGGCACATATTAATGGATATAGCACACCTCAGTCAATTTAGAGATAGTATACATCCACTATCTGGCAGTGGAACATTGACAGGAGCAGCCAGCCAGCCGGCCAGCCAGCCCCAACCTACAGCCTGATTTTACTCCATTCTAGGAGTCACTTAGAAGAGGGTGTTATGGCCTGGGATTTGGATGTTTATTCTTTCTAATTTGATGAATCCCCATGGCTTAGAGGCTTAGGGAAGCAGCTTTGTTTATTACTCATATTTGAGGAAGAGGTATTTGAACAATAATCATCAGTGAGGTATAGATATAAATTATTCTTTTGTCTTTTTGGGTTATTATGTATTTATCATTCTCTTGGTTTCAAGAAATTAACCACACAAAACTCTTGAATCCACATTCAAGAAACAAGAAATGAACATGGTGCCCAAGAACCAGGGGAGTGGAAATTAATCAAAAAAGAAAATTTCAGCCAAATGAATTGCGAAATTTAGTATTATTTTTCCCAATGAACATTATCAGCCAAATTTAAAGATCTTTCCGTCTGAGAAAAAAAAATAGGGTTAACTTACATAAAGTAATTCTCAAAATTTTTGTGACCCCATATCAGGCCAACACCCGCCTGTCTCATTTTAAGGGTTAATAATTACTTTTTAAAACATGAAAAACCCAAAAAAAAAAAAAAGAAAGAGTTTGAGTAACCAAAAAGATGTTGTTTAGGAGAAGAGCTGAGAGTTGGTTTGTTTTGTTATAACCGTTATTCCGTTAAGTTAGAAGCACGGAACTACATTTGGACGGTTCAGACTGAATCCGGAAATAAGCAGATAAGATGGATTGTCACTCTTATGGAGTTGGAAGCAACTAACGCAAATCGTTTGTCTCCTCTGTTGATTTCCTGTTATCTGATTTTCACTCTTTCTCTCAATTCTTACCATAGCAGGAAACTTGAAGAAATTGTGGCAGTCCTCTCGGGCTAAGCTTGAAGAAAGTATAGCATAGTGCTTGTTCAATTAACATCTATCAAGAAAGAAGAAATACTGATTTTTGATCATCAGTATGGGAAAAAGAAGAATAGAAATCAAGAAAATTGAGGACAAGAAAAAAGCAACAAGTTACATTTACTAAGAGGAGAAAAAGGCTGTTCGAGATGGCTATGGAGCTAGGCCAGAAATATGGTGCTGAGGTAGCAGTTGTGAGAACTCGAAAAAAATCATGTGTGTGCTTTGCATTTATTTTATTTTATTTACCTTGATATTAGAAATATTACATATAATGAATAAGTGGTTAAATTAAATGCCTAATTGAATTTTTATAAAAATTGAGAATTTAGAAATATCCTGATTTACTTAAGAATAACGGTGTAAGGGGAAGAGAGTGTGAGAGATTGAAAATTTTATTCCTTATTTAAAATTTAATACATGTTCCATTTTCTTTTATTTATTACAATACATGTTTAATTATTTCTTTTCGTTAACAAATAAACCGGTAATACATTAGGAAATTGTATCACCTATACCATTAAATATCAGTATTAGTTAGAATTTATTGTTATAAAAATAAATAATAAAATAAACATGGAAAAACACTCGTTTGGAAGCATGTAAATGCCTAATATGTACAAGAATTAAATGTTGATTTTCCCTGTTAGTTAGAAACCGAAAGAAACTACTAGTTGTCTACCATTAGAACCGCAAATGGGGAAATATACTAGTACTTACTATTGCCTTCTATTAGGAATTGAGAATGGTATACAATCTGCGAGCATCCTTTATTACTTTCTATTTGGAACCGAAAGAAACCAATTCATTTGTTGTTGTCTACCACTAACCACCGAAAGAAAACTATCTTTACCTTCTTAAACAATAAGACCCGCGAGATAAATAGTAGAAAGCTTTCTTTTTTCTCCAATTGCAAACAACAGCAAACAAGACATCATGCAATTTGGAGGACACTTGTCCTCATTAGCTAGCCAAGTAGCATGCAAAAGTAATTTTGGTCGGTTAAGAGGCAATAAGTAGAAGCTAGCTGTAGTTCATTCTTAGTCTAGCTACCCGAGAGATATTAAGAGGAAAAAGGAGAAAAAGACCAAATCAACCTTGAGTTTCAGTTGAACTACCAAAGAACTGAGGAAAGGACAAACATTTGGAGAATCTAGAACCGAGTGGAAGTAAGGCAAGCAATGCTAAACAAGCTTGGGCGGTGCTTGAGAGAAACCAAAGGAAAATTCCAAGCCAATGGTCTGCTAAATACAAGCGGTTACCGAAAGGAAAAGTAGAAAACTATCTGTTAAAATTTGGGCGGTGGTTGAGAACAAAATAAAACTTTAGTTCGTCTCTTTACCAGGCCAACACCGAGAGAAACAGAGAGAGGGAGAAAAGAGAGCAAGATTGAGAAAGTGAGAGAGAGAGCCTAGTGAGCTTCGTCATCAACTAACCAAGGATTGGAGGGAACAAAGCTGGAAAGGAAACTGATTTCGTCTGCGATTCCTAACACGTAAGGCAAGAGGTAAGTTTCGTGAATAACACTTATATACTGAGTGTAACTGAGTATATGTTTAAGCTGCAAGTTGAGTTTTAGCAGAGGAAAGTGAGCTTCAACTGAGGGAAATTTCTGGTTTGAAGCTCAAATGATCCTTGACTGAAGCTGTGAGAACTGAGTGATGATCAACTGAAATTGCAGGCTGTTATCAATGGAAAAATGGAAGAATATTATAGGAAATGCATGGAAATGTTTATTTCTGATATTATGTAAAGTTTAGCCGTAGAAACTTGTGAAAGTTGGAACCTTGAGTTAAAAATAAAGAAAGAAAACTTGCTGGAATTCTTTTAGCTTATCCGAGTGGGGAAATAGAAAAGTTGCAGCTGCCTTTTATAAGTAATGACTCTAAAATTCTGTGTTAATCTGTAAAATGTTGGATAACACCTTGATTTCTCCATGCATGAGAAATTTGAGCATAAGATTGAGGGATTTAGTAGAAGAAATTCATCTTCATTTATTGCCTGCTGCTATACATCAGATTTACAGCCGAGAGAAGATATAAATCTTAGTTCAGCTTTTCTTTTGAATTTTGGTTATAAATTTCCATGTTTTGTTAAGGTTAACCTGTAGTTGAATAATCATCCCCTGCATGTTTAGTTGGGGCATGAAAGTGAAAGGAAAGACTTGAGAAAACAACAAATGTTGGACCGTTACACTGCTAGAAAATTTAGTTGGGGAATGCTATAGCTGATAACAGCTTTTGTATGTGATTTTGGCCGAATAACATGCTGAAATTATGAGTTATTCACCTTAGTTCATGTTGAACAGAATGTATACTAGGTGACTAATATTTGAGTAAGTGAAAGATGGAATTTGTTGAAGATTTAGAAACATTTGATCTAAAATTCTTGCTTTGGCTGACCGAATGTGTGAAGAGATGAAGCTCTCAGGAAACTTTTGAAAATTTATGTTAAATGGTTGTGAATTTATATGGAGCATCTTATAGTATCTTGAAACTATTTTACAAGTATTTTAAAGAACTTAAAACTGAAAAATTAGTAAAATTTAAACGAGATTTAAACTATTGGCAAGTTGGAGTCTAGTTTAATCCAAAAAGAAAAGAATGAAAAATCAATTTGCCTTAATCTTAGAGTATTGGATAGAAAACGGTTTAATCTTAGGTTAAACGTTTTATAAGACTATAAACTTAGTATATGTATAATTCTTGATTAAAACAATTAAGTCAATAAGTTTCAAAATAAAATGATAAATGATAAATGATAAATGAATATTGAATATTGAATATATTATATTTGTACTTTAAAGTCAAACTTGATTTTAATAGTTCAAGTGATAAAGTAAGAACAATAAGTGAACATCTACAAACTATGTATTTGATTTGGAATTATTAACTTGTCCAGGAAGTAGCTGTGAACCAGAAAATCGACTCGAGACTCGAGAGTAATTTATTTGGATATTTGGTGAGTGTTTCCGAATTTACGTGTTTAATTGTTTATGTGTACTTGAGTGAAATTATGTGACAAATGAACTTATTATGAAATATTGCTAAGTGATTCATTGCAAAGTGTATCTCAATTGTTCCTCGCCTTCTAGGTCGGAAGTGTACTTTATCGCACTTGGCTTAGTTGAGTTTGAAGGTTGATAATTGATCAAGTGATATTGTAAGTGCGCATGACTGTAAGCCGTGTGTGTACTTTATCACGCCGGCTGAATTGGGCCCCAAAACCCTCTGTTCAACGGACTATTCGAGCCAGCAAAGGGCTTGGTCGGGTAGGACGGTAGCTTTGGGTAAGTGTTTTGGTATGCTCGAGTATTACCACGGAGTAGTAGATTACTGATATTGATATGGCCATCCAAGTGAGGGAAGTGTTTATTGTTTTGGAGGTTATAAGGAGGAGTTCGGCGGAGTGTGTAGTGCATTGAAGTGGCTCTAATGCGAGCACCGTATCCTTTTAAAAGTGATTGTTCAGTGAAGTGTTTCCTCAATTGCTAATGAAAGTGATTGTACAGTGAAATGTGCACTACTTGCTTAATTATAATGATTCATGTGATTATTAAATGTTACTTGCATGGAAACCTCACGGGCGTAAGCTCACCCTTTTAACTTTGTTTTCCTTACAGGAGTTGGAGATTGAAAAGTGATTGGATGGAATTGGAAAGTTGTTTTGGGAAATTCTATCACTATGTGTATATATATTGGAGTCACGTTTTCTTTCGTATTTTAAGATGGTTGAATCTTTTGTTTTGAGTTGGTGTGATATTAAGAATGGATATTTAGAACAGGTATTTTGTTTTCTTTTATTGGACAAAGTTATGTTTCAAACTGATTGGAGATGTACTTAAGAGTGAATGTTCAGTTGTCCAATGGTAATGTTATCTCTGAAGTTAATGTGAGTGAGTGAATCCTGACGAGAGTTAGGCAGGCGATCCGCTAACTTCTAGGGTATGCCCTAGGAGAAGGTGGGGTCGTCACAGCAGTGACCACCAGGAGTAATGCTGGCAATATCTTTGCCTTTGGTCATCCTTCTGTCGACTCCATTGTCCAGTGCTACGAAGAAACCAAGGAAACTGAATCATCAGCCACAAAAAGAGACAATGATGTTCATCAAGAATTGTAGAATCTGCCTGAAGATGATCTTGATGAAACAGAGGAAAGCCCTGATGATGATGATGATGAGCAGGAAATGTCTGATCGTGTGATGGAAGTCAACAAAGCCAAATTGTCATCTGAAAATAGAAATGGAGATCAAGATTAAGTACATGATGTGGCTGAAAATGATGATATAAGTGACATAGAAGAATTCCTTGATGATGATGATGATGATGATGTTGATCAGGAAATGTCTAATCATGAGATGGAAGTCAAGAAAGCCAAATCATCATCCGAAAAAAGAACTGAGGATCGACAAGAACTACATGATCTGCCTGAAGATGATGATGAAATTGAATTAGAAGATAGTCTTGATGATGATGACGGTGAAGATGATGATCAGAAGAATACGATGTTTGATCAGATGGATTTATCAATGACATTGATATTGCCATTGCCATTGAGGACAAGTGCAGAAAAAGAAGATAAGAGCCCTGGCATGATGATCAGGCAGAAGTCTGAATCTGGAAAGGGTTTGGCTATTAGTTTGCCTGCAGGGGGAAGCCAAAAGGATGCTACTGATCAACAAGTACAAGACACTGGGAATGTGGTGAAAAAGCAGGGGAATTCAACTGCAAACTCAATTATGATGCCCAACTTGATTAGGGATGTGCCCCCAGTTGATGATTTGGAGTTGCATGAACTTCAAGAAGGTATGGCTCAGCTAGAAGAGATGAAAAAGAAAGTAACAGATCCAATTAATCAGATCAGGAAGAGCAGCGCTGATTCTTCTGGTGACTTCAATAAAGATGCAAGGACCTGCAATGGAGAACTGACTAGGAGTTTTAAGTCTCAACCTTTTTTTTTGACACGGTAGTTGAGAAATAGGTTGATAGAAGATATTTTTTTTTTTTTTTATAACATGGAAAGAGCCATTTTGGCAATGAACTCAGTCAGAGATGCAGCTAAGATATTAGGTAGTCATCTATGGAACAATTCGAAAGTGTAAAGTTCATAAGATTCTTTTATGGATCATGCTTTGATCAGTAGGCAACGGTTCATTGTAGATCATGTCTAATCAGTAGGCAAAGTTGAAATAATGAGGTTGTATTGCACTTTATGAATTTTGGTCAAGTTGGTTTTCATATTTCTAGTTCTTGGGATAGCCCAGAAACAATATTGCTGCAAATTCTGTTCTCTCCTAAATGGAAGGTACATTTATTCCACCCTTCTTGACATGCTTCTTTAAATCTGATGTTGGAAAGTTCTTTGTTTCTACAATATCAACATTGTCTGATTGAATTTGGTCGAAATATTTTATCTTTTTTTCTTGTGCGGTTTATTTTTGTAGGGCAGAATTATTACTTTGGGTTGTATTCTTTCTGTATCTACCTCTGATTCTTGATCTTTACTATTCTTCAATTGACTCATATACAACACTAATGTATTCAATTTCTTAGTTATGTACCGACATGGAAATTATCTTCAATAATATGATTTTTTAACAACAATTCATTAATGACTTAAAATTAGCTCAGTTTCTTCTGAATCATAATAAATTCATGAGTATAAATGTGTCATGATCGGATCATCAGGAGGTTTGATTTAGTAGTAGTTTAATTTGTGGTAGAGTAGTCTTGCAGCAGCAGACTTAGTTTTATGCCCGTTTGATGTAATTCTTCACTTTAATTAGCAAGTAATTAAGATCCACTGCAGATTAAAAACCAATTTTAATGAATTGTAATGAGTTAGTTAGTCATAAAACACTATAAAGTATGAGTACAATGTATATACATATATATATGTATGTATGTGGCTGTGTATGTATGTATGTTTGTATGTTTAAATTTGAGAAGTGTTCACAACCTTAGCCTTCCTCTTAGCAGCCAACTCTCTATTATTTTTCCTAAGTTTTTGAATCATTTTGTCCCTAATAAATACTTTCAAATATTTTGATTGGATCCTAACATAAATATATCACTTAAAAACGAAAGTTTAGAAGCCTAAAAAGAAATAGAGCACTCATAATTCAGCATTCATGATTTGCAAATTTCATCGAAAATATAAACTGCATTAAATTAATGAACTTATTTTTTTGCCCTCGATATTTAGATTTTTTTTCTCTTGCGAGTGTTTGCAGATGATTTCTGCAATAAAAATTTTAACAAAAAAATGTTGTCTTAAAAAGTGATCTATTTATCGAATTCAAAGTGGACAAGACCTTCTTTTGTGTAAAATATTGAAAGAGGAAGGTTCTAGAGAGGTGGCTGTAGCAATAGTAGGAAAAGGGAGAAAATAAAGACTATCTCTCTAGTTCTTTTCTCTCGTTTTTATCTAGTAGTAAAAAGTAGCTTAGTTCTTCATCTTGTAGGTTTAAACAATGGAAACAATGGAAGAAATCTTGATGTAAATATGTGGTTTTGATGCCAATGAAGACGATGAAGATTAGAGACTTTGTTCCTTCACTTGAATGAGCATTTCTTCTTTCTCACTCTCTTTATTGTTTCATTAATGCTTAGTTATATTAAAGACATGAGTTTACTAGTTTTATCTACTATAGCTAGATTCATTTTTTCTAAGGATAGATGAAAGTATATATGCCTTGATTATGGTCGAATATAGTTGATCTTTGCTACAACTTATACTTGCTAGTTCACTTATTCTTGTTTTAATTACTTGTGAATGCTTGATCACTATTTGCAAGTCATTATAGCTGTTAATCTATGAAAATAGTAGACAATGATGAAAATGGAATAGGTGGAGCCTAAGGAGTAGGCATATGAAAGTAGTGGTACACTTAAATGGATAATTTTGGCATTTCTAAATCTAAATTAAGTTTTCACTTTAAATTTCACCATGAAAGTAGGGAACTATAGTGTGGGCTAAATTCGGTTCATTGGCGAAAGTAAGTTCTGACGGTTTGAGTAAAATGCATCCTTAGCAAAACAAGTTTATTAGTGATAATTGATCATTTCATCCATAGTTAGGTGCATTTAGTGGATTCTATACCCAACACCACTTGTGTTTAGTTGAGTTTCTTCAAGTTTGTTAATTTCCTTGCATTGTTTATCGTTGTTGTTATTTTATTTAGTTTTAATTCTTGATTTGTTTAGATAATTGAGTTAGCTAGAAGCCTTAGTAATTGATAAGTGATTCTCGTGGGATAGACCCTAATTCCTCCATATTACAATTAATGGCCTACATACTTGTAGTTAGCGAGGTCTTAGGTATAAATTTGGAGTGTAGGTTTAAACCTTGTTAGAATGAAATTTCATAATTTGTATGATACATTTTCATAGTTATGTGAACTAAGATATGAATTTGTGTGAACAAATTACACACACAAAAAAAGTATTTGTGTGTCTAAGATACAAAGAGATAATTTCCAACTCGGCAAATAGATTTTTAAGTAGCTAAGTATTAGCTAAACAACACAAGTATATTGATAAATTCCTGTGTTAGTAAGCATAGAGAAACTGAGTACAAAATATTCGTACCCAAGAACTTTTAGTATCTGTTAACCCTGAAGGAATATGATGATCACTATTAAAGCTTTTAGATGTAGAGGTGTTCATGGATAGGATAATCAGTCCATTTGCAATTTCACTGATTCTAATCACATATGTCAGTTCAGAAAGATTGCATTCCATATCTTAACCCAATTCAACAGGATAACTAGTGACCAGTTAAACTGTAGGATAAGGTCTGGTACACATGGTAATTTAACATTCTTCTACTTATAGAAAATAGGAATTAGATTAACAAATCAAACAATACAACAATTTTTTCCAATGAATAAGAGTTTTTAATTTTATAACTCTAAAAAACTATCAACAAAACAAAAAATCAAAACATGTTAGATAATTAAAACATCGAATATTCTGAAGATTTGTTTTCGTTTTCTCCATTTCTTGAAAGTTATCAATTTATTTTTTTAATAAGGATAATAGGTTACTCCACAACCAAATATGTAAGCTTTAAAAATTAAAAATAAAATAATTAGCAGAGTGATGAAATGGATAGAATTTACAAGAAATTAAAATAAATTTTGGAAAGAGACAAAAAGCAAAGTAGCGGAGTAAATGAAATTAGTGGTCATGGATGTAGGAAATAGAAAAAGTAAATGAGGTTCAGTAGATAAGTTTATAAGTTTTAAGAAAAATAAAATGTATAATGGTCCTTCTAAGTTAAATTATTAGTGAATGACTAAATAATTATGGGTTGAGGTTACAATACTGGTTACTCTATCAAACCTTACATTATATATATGCAGGTAAGTTCAGATAGCCGCAATTTTTAAAAATTGAAATCTATACTCTAACATAATTTTTTAAGTAGGTTTGGATAAGTTAACCATTTCAAAAATTATGGGTTAATTATCTTATTTTTTGATTTTGATCAATTTGATTTTCTCGATTACTCACTTTTTCGATTCTTTTTGGACACCCCTATCGAGACGTGTAAAGCAATCAATTGAATGATGCGACAAGTGTTGACAAATGACAAGTAAAAAGACACGGAAGAGATTTAATTGCTGCTTCCATGGGTCTTCAATTGCGTAAAAATAATGATAATGTCAGTTCAAATATATGAATCTGAATAAATAAAACATCCAGTTTACTCTAACAAATATGAATAACGGTCAACAAATAATTTTTCCACCTGAAAGTTTCAGTCAACCCGTACCAACAAGAAGACCTAGGTAAAGGAACTCCTCCAAAACGTGAACCTTACTTGTATGTGACACATAATTTATAAACATGAACAATAATGGCATCTTGATCTTCAAATCAAAGGGTATAGGGTTTTTTTTTTTAATCAAAGGATTTTAGTTGAAGGATTTTTAAACGGGTGCTCAGAGCACTCATTAATATACTTATATCGCACCTAATTTATTGTGTAAATGTACAAATTCACATTTATTTCAACCCCTAAATTTGGATATTTTTGCAAGTTTATTATGCTTTCACCAAAAAGTTAATGCTTGGAGACCCCTCCTAAACGATTTTATATATGTAACTTTTTTTTCTCTCTTTTTATTCAGATCCATTTCATTTGCTCTCTGTTGACAAAAAAAATATAAATAAATAAACCATGCCTATTTAGAAGTATAATAGTTTTAGAGTTATATTTATTATTTGATAACTAGATTCGAATTAGTATCAATGTTGGTTTAGGAATGTGTATGGTATTTGTATTGGAATAGGTTTTATAGTTCTATTTCTGTATTTAAGGAGTTAAAGTTGAGTTTGTATTATAGAGAATTGTGATGATATAGTAATAAAACCGTTCAATTAAGTATTAATCTTTGGTAGTTCTGGTTATTGATATTCATCAAGAAAGAAGAAATAATTCCTACTGATCAATATGTTGAAAAGAAGAATGGAGATTAAGAAAATTGAGCACAAGGCCAAGCGAAACACTGCATTCAGAACCAGGCGAAAAGAGCTGTTCAAGATGGCCAGTGAATTTGGCCAAGATTTTGGTGCACATGTAGCGGTCGTCACCATCCATGAAGCGGGCAATGTTTTTGCCTTTGGTCATCCTAATCTTACATCCGTTGTCCAGAATTATAAAGAAGCTAAGGAAGTTGAATCATCTAAAAGGGATGATGATGATGATCAAGAAGTAGTACAGGAAATACAGAATCTGTCTCCAGTTGATTTTGCTGAAACAAAGGAAAGCACTGATGATGATGAAGATGAGAGCAACTCTGATGGTGAGATAAAAGTTAAGAAAGGAAAATCACTATTTTGGAAAAGAGACGATGATCATCAAGAAGTTCAATATATGCTTGGTGATCAGAGAAACAAGTCTGATCAGATGGATTTCTCACTACCTCTGAGGCATAATAAAGTAGAAAAAAATGAGAGCTGTGGCATGATGATCAGGAACAAGTCTGAATCTGGAAAGGGTCTTGCACTTGACTTGCCTGAAGGAGGAAGCCAAAAGAATGATGCCA